GCAACCAAGCCAAATCCGAAAATAACATCAACACTCTCATATCATCATTTCCCCCTTCCAACCCTTCAGAAATTAAAGAGAGAAAGAGAGAAAGTTTACAGAAGGAGCTTCCTTGTCAAAAGAAAAGTCGTGAAGCCATCAACAACCAAGTAGACTTCCATTACTTCTCTGCATTCATCATAAAATATGTTATCTGCATGCATTATTTTTTCATTATAATCAAATCAAACAGAAAAATGATTACACAGAAAAACTTAAAACAAAACAGAAAATGTACCCCCATTCATCGTTCGAAACCCACCTCATGAAATCCCTTCTGAAGCCACAACAACATCTGTAACTATCAAATACCTCTTCCATTTTTCTTAACAGCCACCACCACTAATCAACCGACATCACACATCACCGTAATGTCTTCAAATACTCGCAAATCTTAGTCTGATCACCGGCGACACCGAGCCCATGGAAGTTGTCATCACCGTCGACGTTCTTCGTCGATCCAGAAGCTTCATACCGATCCAGATGAACAACGGCGAAAACATCCGAGCTTGGATCAATTTCGATGGCAAGAATCTGGGGATAAACGTCATAGTTCTCAACTTCGAATACAAATTGGATTGAAGCACATAGAGTTCTCGCATGTAGCTTCAGTTGATTCAGGATCAAGGGAGTTAAATTAGATTGATGGCGATGCAAAGATTAGGATGAAAAAGAAGAAGATGATGTTTGTTTCCTTGGAAGAGAGAGTTTTTATATGTTTTGTTTTGTTTTCACGATAACATAGAGTTAGGATTTTCTTGGAAATAAGTTTCAATAATAATAAAAATTCCTTTCCCAATAACACCAGCCAGCGGCGCGCCCTTCACGTACTTAGGGTAAAACCTTTTCTTTGTTCAAAGCTAATCGGGTCAGCCTATTGGGCTGCTGGCCCAATCCACTAACCGTTTTCAACTTTTATCTTAACTAATTCATAATAATAAATGAATGAAACATGTGGAATGGTGGTTAAGGTGTGATGGTTTGGAGGAAAGGTCTCGGGTTCGAGACCCCCTGGGACATTTTCCTCTTTTTTTTATTTCTGATTTTTAACTGCTTCTTTTTGGTAAATAAAAATTTCTTGGGCTACAAAACCTATTAAAAAAAAATCAGCACACCTCCCATAATTCTGCTTGCACCTTTGTTTGATTAATTTATTTTATTTTTGCTATTTTTCCTAATTTAATTTCTTAAAATCAATTAGTCTTTTAGTTAGATAGTTTTAGTAATTAGTTTCGGCTTAGAATTATTGTAATAATTTTATAAATTTTAATTTAGTTAGTAATTTTAGTTATTTTTAATTTAGTTTAGATTTAACTTAGGAACTTTAGAATTTTAACTTGGTTTTTAGAATTAATTTCGAAATTTTAATTTAATTTTAGAATTAATTTAGTAACTTAGAATTTTAAGTTAGTGTAGATTTATTTTAATAATTTTATTTGTTTTAGATTTATTTTGTTAATCTTTAGGTTCAATAAAAAAAATACAATTTCGTATTATTTATTTTTTAAAATTTATTTAGGACTTTTTGTGAATAATTATGTAACATTTTATATATAGTTTAATATGCTTTCTTTTAAATTATTTAGTTTCGGCATGATAAAACTCAAATAAAGATAATAGAATAGATTCTTTATTTTTTTTTTCTCTTCGAAATTTCTCAAAAACAAAAAATACCAAAAACTTTATTTCCATACTTTGTTAATTAATTTTTATTTCATAGATTGTTGTAGTTTTAATTAATTATTCGATTTCAATTTGGTTGTATTGATTGCCTATTTGGACTTTTCACCGCATTGATCCATCCTCATTTGTAAATTTGTACTCCCCATTCCCGGAAGCTCTGTAATAGTGTAGAATTTTAATTTCTGCAATTTACTGTTTTCTTTTATACAATATAGTAATTAGGCGTGTATGGAAAGATTTAAAATCAATCGCTAGATAGCCATAAACTTCAAAGACAAATTAACTTGAATCAAACACACATTTTCACACTCGCACCTTTAGGGTAACCTCGCTTGTCGCCTCAGAAAAATAGTCATGTCTCTCGAATATGGGATGCTTTAGCAAAGACCCTTTGATAAAAAGATTGTAGTCCCTCGATTTCCCTCGATGTTGTCTTCGGTAAAATGATCTAGTCCCTTACGAAAATTGCTAAAGCGTCTCACAAGTTGCCTTCTATGACTGTACGATTGACCTGCGTCTGTCCCTTCACATCCAATGATGAGGATTCTTATCAATCAATGGTAAGATAGCAACATCTAAAGGAGGAGGAAAAGAACAAATACCTTTTGAGTAGGTAAGACGCTCGTAGTTTGTTGCTCATCAAACTAAAACCATTTTCGCACTCACACTTTCAAAACACCTTCAAAAACAAATATCTCTTTGAACTATTTTCAAAACCAGACTTTGTATACATTCTTATAGAGACGAGAATCATTACAAAGTTTGCCGCAACCTGAAACAACTGGCTGAATAGTCATCTGATAATGAAATCAATGAAGTCGCCATCGAATATTTTTTATCCCACGGGAAGGGAAAGGTAAACATCGAGTAAACCTAAGAAGGGTGAAATCTAGGTCGAACGACCAAGAGATACAGGTGAGGGAGTCTGTTACGTAAGGAGAAGGTATTATCACCCCACACACCCGTAGTACTCTACGGTGTCAACTCTTGTTGTTCTAATTAAAGGGTGTGTATGAATCTATATCTAAGCTGTACAGGGAATGCATGCAAAAGAAAGGAGAAAAGAATGTAGGGAAAATAAAAGTTATGCTCGTTCGGGCCCTACCCCGATGCCTACGTATCCCTATTAAGGAATCAAAGCAGTCATATTTCAGCATCAAAAGTTTTTTGTTGGTTTGTATTTTTAATGAACAATATTAATTTCGCTTCTGTCGCAACTCGACCTTTGGAGATTTATGCGTCAGCACATAAGTGAATTAACATATTCTTTTGAGAAAGGTTTGAAAGAAAAGCCCGAATGCACAAAAGAGTTTACATTGGTTGATATTTTTTACCTTAAAAAGTATTTGAAAATTGTTAGATGTTTTATGCATTTGCTAAGGAAAAGAAAGTTTTTGTTTTAAATGCAAGGATGCAAAGGAAAAGAAAACATCTAAGGGAGACTAACCTAAATCTATCCCTAATGTTATCATACAATGATTGATCCTATAGTTGATTTTTGAAGGGAAATATCTACCCTATATTGATATGCTTGGATAACAATCCTAATGTCTATCTCAACTCATCATCTATAGATGAATCAAGAAGTCCTAAAGGAGCATAGCAAGGGTCTATCACCTAAACCATGTCTATCTCGAATCATCATCTGTAGTTGAGACGAGAGATCCTAAAGGAACATGCCGAGGATATGTCATCTCAAAACATGCACATAAAGACAAAGTCAAGCAAGCAATCCAACAAGCTCAAGAGAGCATAAACAATATGTCGAGAGCAGCACATACTAACTCAAGTCAAATGCCTAACCAAGATATTGAGGATCAAGGTAGGAAAACAAATCAACAATTAAAAGGCTCAAGAGAGCACACCCAGAGAGATCCTATCTAGGCTAGTATGCCGAAGAAAGTATAACAAAAACTATCCTATGGGGAACATGAAATGAGAGCGAAGTCGTGATCTTAATTTCTAAATTGAGTGACTCATTGATCAACAAGAAATAAAGGAAAGCGATAAAATCCTATAGGGAACATACATTGAGAGTGAATTCGTGATCTCAATTTCTAAATTGAGGTGCTCATCTATCAACAACCAAGGAAACAAACACAAGCACAACACATATAGCAAATGAAGTGAGGAATGCTTGCTACATGCTACAGGTCTTTAAACAGCAAATTCGAGCGCACGCTCTTTTTTTCCTACTTCTCATGATATCTAGAAAGCAGTAAAGTACTGAAATAAGATAAACAAGGGAAAATACCAGACGGATATCAATCCCTATTAAAGCGTATCAAAACAAAGAAACCCGGAAAAATTCGAGTAAGCTTCACCAAGCAAAGAAAAGAGTCAAAAATCAAGCGCTCGAGATAAGTGTCGAAGCATCATCGATGTGAAAATAAATCATAATCGAAATCTCAAGCATATCCGCATACCGTACAATAAACCTGCATAAGATTCAATCTCAACAAGCAAAGGTGAATTACAAATCTCAAGTAATAAGATAATCGAGATTTAATTCCTAAAAACCAAATAAAAAAAGTTTAACAAATTTTCCTTGATTTTTTTAATTTTTAATCATGTAAAAGGAAGTTGCAAACAAATCTAAGCAATTCACAAAATTATTTAAAAGGAAGTTGCAAAAAGCAAAAGAAATAAGACAAAGGGGTGCAGGATGGAATTCATGTGGTGTGCTGAAGCAGAAACTAGGCGCAGCCCAAGGGAGATAGCCCAATAAGCCAGTTTTGTCACAAGTCTTGTAGGCTCCAAAAAATCACGATGGACATTAGGGTGAATACAGTTTGACCCAGTTAAACACGACCAGTCCCGTTTTTTTGTTTAATTCTTCCAGGCTATAAAAAAAATACAATGGGCTTGATAGCATGGTGGTACACTGGATCAAGTGGTATGATCTAGCAAATAGGCGTTGAAGGCCCAACAATACAGTCCAAGTCATTTTTTTTGTACTTCCTGTAGTTACACAAAAACGATATGTGGGCTCATATGGTGAGCGCGGCCCGGTCCAACTTCAATTATATCAATGTGCTTGAATTAGAAAAAAAAAACAAATTAAAAAGGAAAGGAAGAAAAAATCAAAAGAGGGATAGGGCTCAATCAGTTGTGACTCTTCATCTCCCTCATGTGTAATGGCGGCCGTGAACCACTACTATCTTCCGGCGTTCTCAGCAGTCAAACCTCTGTACCCTCGTTTATGATCAATTCCTAGTGTAACTGCCTCTTCGCCGACTCATCCCAACTTTGTCTCAACTTTGTCTCAGCTCAACACCATGGCCTCTCCATCTTCATTCGATTTCGTCTACTCTACTGTATTGTCTTCTTCAATTTTAATTGTTCTCCCGTTCGTCTTTCTCATCTCAGCATACAGAAACAGAATGCCAATGCGGAAACGGAAAGCTAATACATGGTGGAACGACAATGATATGAAGAATTTGAAGCAACGAGTCTGGCCTATCAGAGACCTACCCGATGTGTCTTCAAGCTTGCGGCCGGAGACACTCTGACGGCTCTGTAACCATATCGCTGATACAGGAGATCTAAAAATTATGAATCCAACAACTCATGTGCGTAATTCGTTCTTCTTTGTCTTTTCTTCTTCTGTGATTCTGATTCCATTTTGATTATTACTCGAACGAATTCGTTGTTGCTGAATAGATGAAGGTGACATTAAGTTGATGTTGTAAAGAAAATACAGGTTATGGTGTCGTGCAGTTTCAGCGTATGAAATGGTGATAAGCGGAATTGTTGAAGATGACGTGAAACTGTGTTGGTGTGATACAAGATCTCACAGCAATTGATGAAGATTGATGATTGGAACTGCAGGTTTGAATTGATGATGAAGGTGCATAATGAAGTGATCCATGACGCACTAAAGATGGAGGTTATGTAGAGAAGTTTGATCAGAGACTTGATGAGGATGATAGAGATGAGAGTTTTCTGGTTTTATGGTGATTCTCCCGTGGAAAATAAAGAATGAATGAAGATGATGGAAGAACCAAGCAGAGAAAAGGAGAGAGAGTTTTTGTTCTGCTTTTTTGGTGGATGAAGATAAAGGTCAGAGAATCGGGAAGAATCTTCAGGGTGCTAAAGAATGAATCGATCTTGGTAAGATTTTCTGTTTATATATTCTGTTATCCTGGAAATAGTTTGTTAGGGATGTTTAAATCTGAGCCATTGCTTTTAAAAGTTTGTTACCAAAATAGATGGCTAGGATTGCATCAGATACTGAGCTGGATTTTGTTCTCTGGATTTCTTGCAGGATTTTAGATTTTTTCCATCTAAAAGAGGTGAGGAATTTATTTTTTTCTTTCTATTAGCTTGGTAGAAAGTTAGTTACAGTTAAGAATTTTTGAAACTGAAAGTTAGTTATGTCGACTTGAAATGAGCTGGCACTATTTGGTAGTTTGTAATTCTGTTTCTAATTCCATTATTTTTTAAACTCACGGTTCTCTCCTTTCCTTCTTGCCTTTCTGATTTCAAATATTTCTTCTCCTTTTTTGTTATCATAGTTTCCTCTTTCTAATATTTTTGATCTTTTCCCTGTATTGTTGAACTGGAATGGTTTCAGCTGAAGTATCAGCCTTGAATGGTGAATCACCAAATGGATCTCCAAAAGACTGATTGAAATTATTGGACCCACGTGATGGCGCTGCAAAAGCTGTTGAGCCGACGTTTGCTTCAGGGGTTGCAATAGGTTCAAGAAGTGAAAATCTGTTATGAATCTGAGATTTTGATTTCAGTTAGCAGTTTGTTCTTTTGATTTTTTTTTCTGTGGACTTAATCACAGTGATGTTATTGACGAGCTGCCATTTTTCTTGCATATGTTTTGTAGGTTGTATGCTTTAAGCTGTTAAAGTGGTGATGACATGTTTCCTTTAAGGAATACGTGACAGCTCATGGCAGTTTGAAATCGTTTTTGCAATGTGAAAATGGGCTCTTATGACTGATGCAACATGTTTTGTGTGTTATGCAAGCCTAGTATGGTGCCCAGTTCAGTTAGCAGGTGGACGGTTTGGTGTTGATTGGATCCGTTCTTGTTAATGTAGTGCAACATTGAGTATAATGATGGAGCTGATGTTGACGTTGGAACATGGAGAATGATTTAAATTAGGATAGACTTTGTTAGGTTTAATTTTTCTTGTAGCTTTGAATAAATTTGAATATATCTTGTAATTGAACTATGCAATGGACACGTATGGAATTTGTACAGGTTTTAAATGTAATTTGAACAAAAATGGTGTATGATATTTGAAATTGAAAGGACTTGATAAATTTGTAAATGAATGAACTTGTTGGAATTTTTGTTGAATATGGAATGAAGAGGTTTTGAAATGGTTAATGGAACTTTGAATTGAAATTGGATGAAGAACTTTGCTGGAAATTTTGAATAGAATCAATTGGAACTTGAATCTTCCACTTGAAATTGAAAGTGATCTCATGCCTTGAATAAAGTTTGAAATGTTGTATTATTTCTCCTTGGTAGCTTGAATTTCAAGAGATTAACCATGGATGGATCTTCCAATTTACATGCTTGATTAATGCACCTCAAACTCAATTGAAACCATAAGTCCAAGTTAACTTGTGAAGAAATCCATATGAACTTTCTTCCAATACTAGCATGAATCAACTCTTGACAAACATGTGCTTGAGAACCTTAATTAATCTTTAGACCATGCCTTATAAACTTTGCATTTACTTATACCTTGCATTACATGAAATACTTATGACACTTGCAACTTAAGAAACTTGAATGAATACTTCCCTAGTCAAATCCTCAATTCCCCATGAAACTTGCATTACAAGTAATAACAACTCGAGAGAACAATAATCCTTCGAGGAATCCTTTGAAGATGAATATGGAACTTGAGACATAGGAGGAATAACTACCAAGATAGCCTTAAAATGTAAATCTAATGAACCTTAGTTGCTGAGTTAATACGCTTAATTGCCACACATAAGAACTACAATTTTCTTGAGATGCGTTGTGATGAAAATGGATTTGTCTCTTACCTTGAGGAAGATATCCTTGTAGCTTGATAAGGAAGATATCCACAATAACCATGAATCAAAACCCTAAATTCATAATTCAATGTACAAAGAAGAACCAGAAGAATCAGTCTTGTTTGATAAACACCTCGAACCAAAAGAAAACCATAGCTTCACAACCATTGATCCTTTGAACCATGATTCAAAAAAACCTGAATTGGTTAACTGAAGAGTGGATGAATGCCATGTCATAGTCATTAAGCCTGATCAAATGATAAGCACACTTATATGAGGAGACGTCTTGATTCAAAGATTATGTATGCTAGGTCCTCTCTTGAATTCTTGACAAGAAAAACCTGCAACCAATTGTTCATTAGAAGATAATAGCCTTGTAGTTTGATGGAGAAGAAGTCCAAAAAATAAGGATGAACCGAGATCCTAACTCCACAACCTTGTACACCAAGAAGAAACAAAATAATCAATCTTATTCAATCAAATACACCTCAAAACAGTCGTAAACCCTAGTTTCACATCTACTAATCTTTTGAACATCAGGTGCTCTTCTGAAATGCAAAATGTAGGCTATATTAGTGACCTAATGAAAAAAATGCGAATGCGACAGCCTAAGCCAGATGAAAGAAATTTATGAGGGAAAATTTTGGGGTGCAACACAACCAAGGCGTTTTCAAAATACTTTCAAAAACCCACCACAAACACATTTCAAACAAATCATTTTTCAAAGTGATCTAGCAAGCAACTAAGAGCTCGTAGATAACTACGAATGAAAAGAGTGCTAACACCTTCCCTTTTCATAACCTACCCCCCGAACTCAAGAAAATATCTCGAAAGGTCTTTCCTATTCTTTTGACCCTTTCCTTTATTGGATAAAAGAAAAGTCGGTGGCGACTCTTGCTATCCGCAACATTTGCGATAAAATGCAAAACACCCAAGTCAGTTCTCCCACCATATTATAGAACTGGCGACTCTGCTGGGGAATTATACTTTAAAAGTGGGGTTACCTTAGAGTCAGATCACCTTTAAAATGATTTCCTTATTTGACTTGCTTGATTTACATTTTGGGTCCTTGTTTGGGTTTTTGATCCTCTACCTGGATCGGGGAACATTATTAGGTAAGTAGCAATAGATCATGGGGACTATGCGAAGTATACCGACATGGTTGAAGCGATGGCTACGTTAGTGTGACACATTTGTTGGTACCAGTATCCCTTGTGTTGAATCGAGGAGAATATGGGGCCGCCGTATGGTGTCATGAAGCACTAACTGACCTTAGAACCTTTAATTGAACAACTTGGCCATTAGGAAGTAGTGAGATAGCCGGCTTTGGTGCAGTTCGATGTTGGTTGATACTTAATACTATGCTCATTGAGATCAGACTTTCGGGTTATTTCGGTCGCTAATAAAGAGGCTTGCGCTGAAACAATACTCGATGAAGAAAGATCAATGATATTGAGATCTCCTAGAACCCAGTTACTTTCTAGGACAAGTTGAGCCAACTAAGCTTCAAGAGGGTACTTACCTATGAACTCCATGAAAGCCTAAACCTAATGAATTATATTCTTTATGTGTATATGATTATTTGTACATAACGACTTGTTTGCTTTGTGTGTATATGTTTACTTGTACATAACATCATGACATCATACCGTATCATTCCCACTGACCATTTCAAGGATCTCAAAGGACTTGTGATGCAGGGTCATGATGAACCATACGTCTATCAAGGGGCAAGAGGATTTATTCTCCTCTAACCAAATGCTACCAAAGACCAAAGCACGATAACTTGAGTCAAGGGCTATGACCCACTTGATATGGTGAGCTTGATTCTCGTAGAAGGATATTCCAGCGATACGAAGTTCTTCAATTAAAGCTGTAATTAAAGTTCAACTTCTAACATTTTCTTGTCTGTACCATGCGAGATCCTTGAAAACATCGCATCCACATATCATGCATGTCATCGTAACAGGTTTTCCCCATACAAGTTTCTCATTTGCTTACTGTTTATTTCAATAGAGATGGATCTAGAGCATACTGTCATAGATCTTCATACCCAAAATGCTCAACTTCAAGAATTGTTCCTAAACCTATCCAAGGGGCAAGAAGAAGTGAAAGCACTCCTCATTGAGATCATGACCAAGAGGAATCCTAAATACAACAAGGACGACTAGATGGAACGATTACAAACTGAAATGGAAACAATAAAAGTCCAGATGATGGGACAAATGGTGGGTCAGATGGCTCTTATCCAAAACTTAGCTCGGGGACAAGAAGAGCTGAGAGCCCTCGTCAACAAGCTTCATCAAGACGAATGCAACCATATGGAATAAACATCTAGAATTGGGGATCGAGTCATTAGTCAGCCTCTGATGATACAAGAAGTTGGTTTGGTCGAGAGAACACCCTTCAAAATGGCTACTATACCAAGAGTCCAACAACAACCTCGCCAACCACGACAAGGTGGTCATCATAAGCAAGGAAGACTATTTGGTGAGATCAACATGCCCTTGGCACAATCATTGCATCATACGTTGGAAGCCAAGCTAGTTACATTAGGGAGCCTCCTCAAAAACCCATTACTGCTTTCCCCGTTACAATCATGAAGAAAGGTCTGCGTACCACTCCAATAGTTCTGGACACGACACTAACCACTGTTGGACTTTCAAAAACAAGATTCAAGACCTAATCGATGAAGGGGCGTTGGAATTCATAAAAGATGGTAAACTTGAGTTTTTATGTCATCCTTCAAAGGCACATCATCTGAAGTGACAAAGTTTAGACGGGGAAATTTTTGTTCATTTGAATTTTTAGTTGTATTCTCTTTGTTTGCTTAAACACTTATCTTTATGTCAGACTTTGTTTGCACCCATTAATGCATTGCATATGTTTGTCCTGAGTTAATCCATTTGTTTTCACTATATTGAAATTAGGCTTTTACCTTGTTTTTTATGATATTCAACTCTCGGTTACAAGCTGTAAGCTTTTAGAGGGAGGATGACGAAAATAATACCATAATCTCATACAATATGCTTTTGGATAGACTTTGTTGACGATGTACAAGTGTTGTTTCAAACCCTAAACAATGGAGTTATAAGGGAGATAATCCCTAGTCAACCCCTTTGAGCCTAAGAAGTAGGAGTTTTCTTTTTCGCACAAATTGAAACCTTTAATCATAACCTGAGGTAGGGTAGTTTCTTAGTTAATCCAAAATCGCATTCAGTCACAAGCTGTCATTTCACAACAAAAATATCCTTATGAATCAAGAGATGGTGTTGGTTCCCCATGAAATAGGCAGTCTTTATATCTCAAAAAGAAAAGCCTATTAGGTCAAAACCTATGAAGGAGACTTAAGAAAAACGGGGGCATCCCGTTGGCTCTAATCTTAAAACAAGAGCAGTCAGGAAAAAAAATTAGGGATAGTAAACCAAAAACAGGAGGTCGCTACAAATCCTCGACAACACGAGAAATGTAATAAAAAATGACTGCCTTCTCAAATAAACTTAACCATCATCAAGATATCAATCCAGGTTCTAGTAAGAGATAAACGTGCGATCAACTGAGTTTAGGACTGGAGAATATCATGAAGAATGGGTTGGGGATAAATAAACTTTAAGCCTTATCCTTTGTTTCTTAAACCGTGAACCAGGCCACATTACAAACCTTTAAAAGTCCTAATTGAAGCATAGGTTAGTTCGAAAGCATGTTGTTACAAAAGGTATCATGACTCCTGTAAGGCTTACTGTAAATCATGAGTTGAATTCATATTCTTACAAATTTTTGTTGCTCTTGAAAAGTGCATTTTTCAATTTTTTCTCGAGACAGACATAACCTTTGCATTGTTTGAA